ATGGTTCACTCACTCACCTCCTTCAAGTATTTGCTCAAATGTCTTCCTCAGTGACCCTGACAATCTATTTAAAAGTTTAGTCTCCCTGCCATACTCCCAATCCTACTTACCCTCTCTAATTTTTACAAAATATTTATTATTTTTTAACAAAATATGTAATTTATAGAATGTAAAACCCACAAAGTCAGGGATATTTGTCTGTGTTGTCGTTGTCGTTGTTATTTTCGTTGTTGTTTTACTGACACATTTCTAGCACTTAGAAAAGTGTCTGACATACAGTAGGTCTGACATATCAATATTTCTAGAGTGATGGATGGATGGATGGATGGATGGATGGATGGATGGATGGATGGATGGATGAATAGAGAGGTTGGAAATCTAGAAAGCAACTCAAGAGAGTATGGGGTAATTAACCTACCTACATGCTGACAATTTCAAAATCTATATTTTTAGTCCATGTCTCTCTTCTGAGCTTCAGAGACATATAGCCAAGTTACTGCTAGACTTTTCTAGGTGAATATACATCAAATGTACAAAAATGGTATTATATTATAATTAGCAAACTAACAGATTAAAAAACCAAGAGAATTATGTTCTACTCCCAGCTCTGTCATCAACTATCTGTGGGATCTTGGGCTAATCACATAATCTCCCTGGGTCTCAGTTTCCTCATCTGTAAAGCAAGGGTATTGGATTAGATTAGTATAGATACCTCCAACATTTTATCCAGGTCTAAAAGTACAACTCTTGATGTTAAAAATGTGGTTACCACAATAATTATTCACTTAAGCAAAAGCATCTCAAAATATATTAAGAAAAGTAAGGGAAAGTTAGTAGGTGGCATACAGAACTTTGCACCTTCAGTGAAGCAGGCAATATGGTATAAGGGTTAAGTGCTCGAGCCCTGAAGTGACACAGATCTGCTTTCTTATCCCAGATATCCACCACTAAATAGCCATGAGATTTTGGGTAAGTAACTTAACCTTTGTTATAGACTAGGTAAAATCAGTTCTGGACTAAAAATTCAATGGCTCAAACTAGACTGGACTTGACTGTGCACCAGTCTCCTAAAGATAAATGATGAGTTCTGCATTGTCCTATAAGCAGCATCCTCTGATTCCCGGGAGTCAGAGATATGGCAAAAGAAAGCTTTCTAGTACACAGTCACTTTTTATCATGGCGTGGCTATCAGAGATTTATTGCATTCCCAATTAGCAATTCTCAGTTGGTGGTGTAAGAAGAGGCAGGACCATCTCCAGAGAACTTAATTTTGCCAAGATTTTTCACTCTAGCTAATAGACCTTCTATATGGAGAGGTTGCATTTTGAGTCTACTGTGAAATAACACTACACATGGAATAAATGGTGGGATATAATCTTTTGTATGTGTCCAGGCGCATGGGAAAGCACCCAAGAACCAGAAAAAGACCATTTTTTTTTTCATTTTACTATCTCAAAACAGACCAACCTCATTCATTTTGGTCCCTGGGGTTGTGTTCTATAAAGAAAATTTGAGAAAATGGGTAAATTGAGAATTAATAAAGACTTGCCAGCCTTCTGATTATTTTCAATCAGTTGAGATTACATTAAAATATATCTGACCACTGCAGATTGTCTAAGGGGCCTTCACTCTTGGGCTGTCGAATAAAATCAGCTCAAAGACTTTGCAGTATGTAAATTCTGGCAAACTAGTTGAGTGATCCATGATGCTCCTTTGAAAAGCAAGATGCAAATGGTTTATGGGTCCTCTATGCTGCTCTCTGCCTCACTTCTCAAAGATCAGCAGTGACTCTGATCTTAATACTGATTGCACCACACAGCTCCCCAGAATATGTGCTTAGTTTTAGTTAGAATTACGAGAAGCATCTCCTTTTCCATTACCAGAAATTAGAGTTCTTTACATGCCCAGTTATCTTGACTCTTTTTACATGGACATTTTCTTTTCCATCCAGAATGTTGATTGGAGTGTTACAAGAGCTTAGCAGATTACCTGATTAATAGGTAAACTTTGATTTTACTCTCCTATGGAGTTATCACGGCTATTCTTAGGTCACTGTATTTCAGTGGAATTAAAAAATCAGGCCCAGACAACAAATTGCTTTGAGCTGTTATTTAAAGATTATAAATAATCTTCCTTAATGCCTTGACCTTCCACCACTGCCTTGTTTGGTGGCATACACCTAAATCTCAGCAGATACTATTAAAGAGGTTTTCTACATTTACCCAAGGAAAATAAATAAATCCCCAGTATTCTTGACACTACTCTTAGTGGCTTTTATGCTCCTTTACTTAGCAGACAATCACCACAAAATAATCACAGCAGCTAAACAGGGTGATGACTTCATCACAGAATTATTAAATCTCATAAATTTAGTCAAGGGAAGGGGCCTTTGTATGTTTAGAGTTATATATAACTGCAGCAATAAACAGACATTCCTTAGAGCCTATCAATGGACCTAAAAGTAGACCTAACTAAACAAACTCAAATAATATAAAAGGGTTATTATTTGCTTCACAAAAAGATTTTTTGCCATCAAATTCTTTTAAATAGTAAATTTCAGAAGGATCCTGAAACATGATTTTATTCTAAAGTCTTTGATTTGAAAACATTGTTCTAACTATATGGATGCTCTTGCAAATTATTTACCTATATAGTAAGTGGCTGGTTTGTGTTCCATGATCAAAAACATATGTGTCCTCACAGCTCTAGATTCCTCTAACACTAAGAGGCATCCATTCCTAAACCCAGTCTTATCTAAAGATCTGGATAAATAAAGTAGCTGGGAATTTGGAAGTCCAGGTCTTAACTACCACTCTACTCCAAACTTGTGATAGAGCTCTGGTAAGTCCCAGATTGGTAATCAGGAAACCTGGGTTCTATAATAGTAAATAATAATAACAATATAATAACTACTATTTATTGGGAACCTATCAAGTGCTAGGTGTTGTATTACATGCAATATAGACAGTATAATATCAATTATCCTACAATAACTTTTGTAAGGTAGAAAATAGTATCCCTATTTTAAATTAGGTTCTCAGAGGTTCTCCCAAGGTCATACAGACAGTGAGTAATTATGGTTTAAAATCCTGACCCAAGTTCATGTTCCTTATCTTTTGATCTAACTTGGTTACCTTGAATGAGTCATTCAACATTACTCGACTAAGATTTTTCCTCTGTAATATGAATTTAGACCAGGTTGGTGGTTTTCAATCCTAGCTACACATAATAGTTGCCTGAGGAGCTTTAAAAAAATAATACACAGGCTGCAGCACAGGCTAATTAAATCAGACTCATTGGAGTAGAGCTCAGGCATTGTTTATTTGTTTGACTCTCAAGTTGATTCTAATGTGCTTCCAGAGTTGAGGATCACTGAAAGTGTGATATCTAGAATCCCTTCCAGTTCTTGAAACTCAGAAGCATAATCCTCATGAAATTCTGGACCAAATTTACCCCTTTTGGCTAAAACTATAATCTCTACAGTGTCCATGACTAAGACATTTCAGATTCCTGCTCACCAGGTTATCTTCTTTTTCTCTTTAAATTTCTCATATGGATTTAAAAAATCAATACAGAGAGTTCTTGAAATTATAGACATTTAAAAAATTAAGTTCCCTGAATTTCTCTGCCACTTTTATTGACTAAATAGAAGAAAAGAGAACAACATTTGAACCTGATTATTCTGAGCCACACTGAGAAGACAGGCAGTGGTAGCAAAGTGAGGAAGCTAGAGATGCTGATACCCAAGGAAGCTCCCAAATCATCTGCTTGCTAACTTGAAAAAGAGTCAGGTGGGAGCCTTGGCCTAATAGACAAGTGAGACTTGTTTATTTTTGTATGTGAGTCTATTGAAGAATGCTCTGTTATCATTGCTAAGTGCTGCTGTTGAGCTCTCCAAATCCTTGCAGATTTGGAGAAACAAAACCAGCAATAGAAAAACCCTTTACCAACATGGATTGTTTTCGGGGGGCTATGAACTGTAGGATTTTGCTTGGAAAATGTTTGATACATATAAATAACAACAAGGAGCTGGCAGATACAACAGGCTTCATGTATAAGATGAGTGAGTAGGAAGCACATTATTTTTTTAGCAGGGAGAGAATCATCTCATTAAGTAGGTTTTTAGTGACCCTATAGGCAGATTTATCTCACTTTAGTTAATGATTTCCCAGAGGAGTTTACTTTCTCTGCTGTCTTTCATAGTTTCCTCTAAATGCTGCATGTTTGAGTCTGGACCTCACCTCTCCATCAAGGAAGGGCTCACTGGTATCAAAAAGACAAAAACAAAAACAAAAACAAACTAAAAATGATGGTTTGTACTCTGGCTGACATTGTCAACCAAATCATTCTGAGAGCTATAAATATTTTTGTAAATGTTCACTTTATCGTTGTGAAATTAATTCTAGAACTGTTCTTTCAATAAGCATAAACAGAGAGAATATGGTAAGTACAAACTGAATTACACAAACCCTTCTCTCAAGGACCTCGATTCTAAGAATTCTTGAGAGTAAAAGTTTAAACTCAGTGGGATTTCTTCCAACTAACTGTCTTCTTAATAAAAATGACTGAAAATTAGACATAGCTTGGTTGTTGCAACAAAAGTAAAGAACAAAACTGAAAAACTCTGAATGGGACGGACAGGATCTGAGACTTTATTCTATAGACATTATCAGCACCAAATCATTGAATAAAATGATTTTCAGATTCATGCAACCAATTTGCTGTGGAATGGAGATGAGTACCTTGGGGACCTCATGCTTCTGGCACTCAGGAAAAAGGGCTATCTCTGAGACATGTAAAGTTTCTAAGAAGTCTATACCAAGCAAACATTTTAATTTCAAATGCTTCTGCATTTATACTTAGATCTTCCAAATCCTGCAACCCGAGAACGACTACCAGGATGCAAAACAGTATTTATGGGTGGCCTACCTGAAAATGGGACAGAGCAGATCATCATGGAAGTTTTTTAACAATGTGGAGAGATTATTGCTATTCGAAAGAGCACACAGAACTTTTGTCACATTCGCTTTGCTGAGGAGTACATGGTGGACAAAGTCCTTTATCTTTCTGGTAGGTGTTTAGTCATGAAGATTGTGCCCAACAAGCACAATGCAGAGATTCAGGTTCAGTATATTTGCATCTGTGGCAGATAAACATTGGGCTTAATGATACCGCTTCTTGCCTTAGGAGATAGCAAATGCATGTTACCATTCACCTTCTTCCTTTAAAGTTCTCAGTAGTTCCCAGTTTTCTATGGGATAACTCCAAAACCTTACCTGTAGCATCTGAAGGCCTTGATTATCTATTTTACCTCTCAAAGTCATCTCCCAATCCTTTCTTCACATACATGTCCCAATCACATTAAACTAACACTAGTTCCCAGAATGTGCCATGGTGTTTTATGCCTTTTCCTCTGACTAGAATTACTTTTCCACATTCATCTGCCATACAAACATCTTCACACCCTAAAGCTCTAGCTCAAGCATAACATCTTGAAAGATTTCTCCTCACTCTGTCCCAAGCTGGTTTGGGCAACCCTTCCTCAATGATTCTATAGCACCTGCTGTTTCCTCCTCACATGACACCTATAACACCATGCTAGAACTGTCTCTTTCTACAGGTCTCTCCCTTACCAGAATGTGAACTCCTTAGGAGGAGGGACCATGTCTTATTTAACTTTGAGTTGCCAGCATCTAGGACATAATCCGGACCAAAAATAGATACTCAAAAATAACTACGAAATTCAGTTAGTTATCAAATATTTGTTGACTGCTGGGCAGAGAGCTAGGTTCCTGAGGATATAACAAAGACGTGCAGACAAACTTCCAAAGGGATAGAGATGGAGAAGGAGAGGAAAGGAGAGGAAGAAGGAAGAAACTGTCAACAAGGTAAAGAGACGACCATCCGAATGGGAAAATATATTTGCAAGCAATGCCTCTGATAAGGGCCTAGTATCCAAAATATACAATGAACTCATACAACTCAATAACAACAGGGAGTGAGGAAGAAGGAGAGATTTAGGGAGAGAAAGGGAGAGGAAGGGAATGATCTAATCAAAAAATGGGCAGAAGACCTGAACAGACGCTTCTCCCTAGAAGACATACAAATGGCCAACATATATATAAAAAGATGCTCAACATCGCTAGCTATTAGGGAAATGCAAATCAAAACCACAATGAGATACCATTTCACACCTGTTAGAATAACTATGATCAACAAGACAAGTAATAACAAATGTTAGAGAGGATGCAGAGAAAAGGAACCCTCATACACTGCTGGTGGGACTTCAAATTGGTACAGCCACTATGGAAAACAGTATGGAGGTTCCTCAAAATCTAAGGCTTGATCTACCATATAATCCAATAATTCGTCTACTGGGTGTTTACCCTAAAGACTTGAAAACTCATATCCAAAATCATATTTGCACACTGATGTTCATAGCAGCTTTATTCACAGTGGCCAGGACGTGGAAGCAACCAAAGTGTCCTATGATAAACGATTGGCTAAAGAAGCTGTGATACATATATACAATGGAATATTACTCAGCCATACGAAGAGATGAAATATTGCCATTGCGACAACATGGATAGATCTCAAAATAATCATGCTTAGCGAAATAAGCTGGACAGGAAAAGTTGAAAATCACATGATATCACTTATATGTGGGATATAAATCTAAAAGCAGCAAATGAACAGGAGAAACAGAGACTCATGAACATGGACAATAGACTAGTGGCTATCATATGTAAAGGGAGAGGAGGGCAGTGGGACGTAGATGTGGTAAAGGGTGTCAAATATTTGGTGACAGAAAGAAATCTAACTATCGGAGGTGGACACACAGCGTAAATGTATATATACCTTACTGTTAAAGTGTACAGCTGAGATTGAATTAAACATGGCAGAGCGAGAGACATTCCCAAATCTCTAACCTTAAAATAACAATAAGCTGAACACATAAAACTCAACAAAAAACACCCAAACTGCACATCAGCACGTCTGAGTGTAGGATCTGCGCATAACAGTTACCACTGTTCAGAACCCCAGATGTCGGGGTGTCGGGCGGTGGACTGGGAGAAACAAAGAAGCTGCCTCTTGCAGCTCCCTGTAGGAGGAGGGAGAAGGGAGAAAGTGTGGCGAGTTCCCTGAACAGCCCTGCCTGGCAGTGCTCTGAGCTCCATGTGACCAGCAGCAGTGCCCAGTCAACAGAGCAGAAGGCAGAGAAACAGAGACAGCAGATATGCGAGGAAGGAGGAGAAACAACAGTTGATTTTTACCCATCCCGCAACACAGAGGACCCCTACCCCAACACCCTTCAAGACGGAACAACGCAGAGCCCCAAGGAATCTGAGCAAACGCTACCGAAACTGTCGCTAATGCTGACAGGAACTGAGACTGAGGATAGCAAGCATGATTAAACATCTATAAGGGGGGAAAAAAGACATTATTAAGATGTTATAAAAAGAAGAAATCTAAGAGACTTAGACGCCACCTACTGGAAACCTAAAAGAAAACACCTTCTTTGCAACAGGCTAAGAGCCATTACATAATAAATTTACTTTCTGGAAAAAAAAAAGAAAGAAAGAAAGAAAGAAAAAGCAGAACACACTTCCATTAATAACCAGGCAGAGAAATACTCCATTAAACACCATGAACAATGAAGGTGAAAAGGCATCTCAGAGAGAAAGAGAAAAATCTTCAAAAAATAAGCAGAAAGACATAGAAATATGCAACTTAAATGATAGAGAATTCAGGATGGTACTTCTGAAAAAACTCAGCGAGTTCTGAAATGAGTCATATCAACAGTTTCAGGAATTGAAAAAACAACTAGATGAGCAGAGCAAGGAGATTGAAACCCTCAAGAAGAACAGAATAGATCTTCTGGAGATAAAAAACATACTGCAAGAGTTGAAAAAGGAAATAGCAAGCTTGGGAAATAGAGTTGACCAATGGAGGAAAGAATCAGTGTTATCAAAGACAGAAATCTAGATATAAATCAGAAGAAAGAAAAGAGAAATCGAAGAATGAAAAATAATGAAAGAAAAATTCAAGAACAAGATGATACCATCAGGAAAGGAAACATAAGAATAATGGACATTCTCAAAGGTAAGGAAAAGGAGCAGGGACTAGAAAGCATTTTCAGACAAATAGTTGACGAGAATTTCCCAAAGATAAAAAGTGAACTGGAGCTTGGAATTCAAGAGGTCAACAGAACACCCAAGTATCTCAACCCCAAAAGGCCTTCAGCAAGACATATTGTATTAAAATTATCAAAAATCAAAGACAAAGACAGAATTCTCAGGGCAGAAACCTTACAAGCCAGAAAGGAGTTAAATCAAATATTCAAACTATTATGAAAGGAATTACCATCCAAGAATAATGTATCCAGTTAAGCTCTTATTTAGACGTGAAGGAGAAATAAAGACCTTTCCAGACATACAAAAAAAAAAAAAAATAGAGGAAATTCTCCACTACAAGGGCTGCACTACAAGAAATACAGAGAGGGGTCAGCTCACCTAAAACAAAATAACAAAAAAAAAAAGCATAATTAGGAGTAAGGTGACTAACAGGCTGATAAAAGCAGAAGAGTCTAACCCTTACTAGGAACAGGGCATTATAAGCTATACATAAGAATATATTGTTATAGCAAGATAGTAATGAATGTTCAGCATACATAGGGACAAAGAGAGATAATAATGACTGAAAAGGAGAGAATTCAAAGATACAAATTCGCAAAGAGGAATGGAGATAAGGCAAGCACAGAAGACAAAGGATGACTGTATATATAAAACTATACTTAATATATTCATAATGATAACCACACACCAAAGATTCAGAACCGAAGTATTTAACATAAAACAAGAAGGACCAGAGGGAAAACTCACAAAAGCCAACCAAAATTAAACATAAAATAGCTATAAGAAGACCTCATATTTCAATAATCACCCTAAATGTAAAGGGACGGAATTCACCAGTAAAAAGGCACAGGTTGAAGATTGGATAAAATAAACCATATGCTGCCTCCGGGAGACACATCTCAGTTCCAAAAACAAATATAGACTCAAAGTGAAAGGGTAGAAAGTGATATTTCAAGCAAATGGCATTCAGAGAAAAGCAAGAGTAGCAGTACTACTATCAAAAAAAATGTAAGGAAAGATACTGAGAGACACTTCATGATGATAAAGGGAATCATGCACCAAGAAGACATAACACTTATTAATATCTATGCTCCCAATCAGGGAGCCACGGAATATAAAAAGCAATTACTAACAGAACTAATGGGAGAAACAGACCAAAACACTATCATACAAGGGGACCTAAATACCACATTGCCAGATATGAACAGATTATTCAAACAGAAAATCAATAAGGAAATAACATCCTTAAATGATACATTAGACCAACTGGACATAATTGACATTTACAGAGCCTTCCATCACAAAATTACCACTTACACATTCTTTTCTAGTACACATGGTACATTCTCAAAGATTGACCACATACTAGGACACAGAGATAATCATACCAACTATATTCTCTGATCATAATGCTTTGAAACTAGAGATCAACTGTAAAAAGAAAGGGGAAAGAACCACAAACACTTGGAGATAAAACAACATACAACTGAAGAATAACTGGGTCAGGGAAGAAATAAAAAGAGAGATCAAGAGATATATAGAAATGAATGATAATGATAGTACAACATATCAAAATTTGGGGGACACGGCAAAAGTGGTCATAAGAGGAAAGTTCATATCATTACAGGCCTATGTCCAAAAACAAGAACAAGCCCAAATAAAAACCTAATGCTTCATCTAAAAAAAAAAAAAAACTAGAAAAGGAAGAACAAATGAAGCCTAAAGTCATCAGAAGGAAAAAAATAATCAAAACTAGAGTAGAAATAAATGAATCGAAAAAAAACAAAAACAAAAACAATAGAAAAAAGAAATGCAACAAAAAGCTGGTTCATTGAGAAGATTAATTAAGTTGACAATCAAGCCCCTGACTAGACTCACTAAAGAAAAAAGAGAAAGGACACAAATAAACAATATCAAGTATGAAAGAGGAGAAAATATG